CTCTTGCCCTTGCTGCTGCTCCTGCTCCTGCTCCTGCTCCTGCTGCTGCTGCTGCTCTTGCTCCTGCTGCTGCTGCTCTTGCTCCTGCTGCTGCTCCTGCTCCTGCTGCTGCTCCTGCTCTTGCTCCTGCTGCTGCTCCTGCTCCTGCTGCTGCTCTTGCTCCTTCTCTTGCTCCTGCTCCTTCTCTTGCTCTTGCTCCTGCTGCTGCTCCTGCCCTGCAGAACACAGACCAGCACCCCCCCAGCCACAGCTTGCCTGCACCGGGGGAGAGACCAGCACCCCAGGGACCGCCACAGCTGAAGGCGAGAGCAGTGTGAAGACCCTCTGTTTTACAATATTTAAACCTCTTTTTTTTTCTTTCAGTGAAATAGTATCTACCTTTTCAGTATTAGGCTGATAACTTCTGAAATGCCACGTAGATGTCTTAGCGTTTAAAGCACAGTTTTCAAAAAGGGCAAGCTCTAATTATGATAAAATAAACAAAAATACCTGGAACCAAATCCACTCTAAAATGGCATGCTCTCTGTCAGATACCACTATACACACTAGAGTAACAAAAACAGAGTAAAAATACTTTGGACGCACTAAATGATAGATAAACCCTCTCTATTACACAGACACACGCTGCTGTTAATCCCACAGGCAAGAACTCTTTCAACACAGGTCTTGATACAATTATCAACAGAATAATTAATAGACTGTTGCCTGCAACAGTCCATACTCTCAGAAAGGTACTATTCTACTATTGGTAAATGTGGTGATGACAACTGATGTCACTGCCAAAGTTTTATACCAATCTTGTATTGATTGGCCAGGCCAATTTTAAAATCAGAAGCATTAGTATCTATTGTACACTAATAAAGTCAAATGATGTTTATATTTTTATTATAAATTCACAGGGCCTACTGAAGGAAAAAAAAAAACAAAAAACAACAAAAACCAACAACATATAATTTACCAGAATTTTTGTTTCCCCATGTTTTATCACATTCCAGCTTCTGCTTTTCAATCTAGCTTTGCTTAGAAAAGACAAATGGCAGCTGGAGGTTTTGTTTTTGTTCCCCCTCCCCCAAAAAAGTTTGAATCCATGATTCTTAGGTGAGTTAAAAAAGTAGACAATCAAAGGAAGCCACTGGTTTTTTCCCCAGATGATCCTCAGACTGTGATGTATCGTCCTCCACATCCAAATCCTCAGTCATGTCCAAACACTGGGTGCATGAAGTTCGTTTTGTGACAGCCAACATACTCAGAGCCATCACACTCTTGCAACCACGTCTATTAGTGTATTTTTTCAAGGGCACTGAATATCCCTTGGAATCCTTAAATTTGAACTTGTAGTGGTCTAGATTGAAAATGAGGAAACCTTTGAGAGAAAAGTTCCTTACAACACTACTGAGCATAACCTAGTGTAGCTAAATAAATAAATAAATATGCACACACATATACACACACACATATATATGCACGCATGTGTATATATATACACATATATTTACATACATGTATACGTACATGTATATACATATACACACGCAGACATGCACACACATAGAGAGTTGTAACACCAAGGAAAAAACTGGGCTGGTAAATAAGGCAGCCCTAGTGAGAAGTGACCCAATTAACCCAAACTCCAATTAGCATAGCTTAGTCATTGCTGCACACCTAGCCCTGCCCAAGGGTGCAAAGGGCAGGGGTACTAAGAGAGATGGAGGGTGACAGAAAACACTGGTTTTTCTCTCACTCTTTTCTTGAACCATCTGGGAAAGTAATTAGGACTCCCAGAAGCATCAATTCCGGCAAATTACGCAGATGGTGGATGTGGCACTTATCTCACCTGATGAAGAGTGCTTAAAGCTTACAGACTAAAATACCATACAGTTTTAGTAACACTTCAGCAATCAAAAAGTTTAAAACAACATTTAAAAAGCAAGCATTAAAATTGGATGAAAATGCTGTCTGTTCTGTGAAAGTTGGTCCATAACCCCATTTTTGCCTGCATTGCTGAGGGACTACGCAATACATTTCAAACAAACAAACAGAAAAGGAAATTAGTTCAGTTTCGCAGGGTAGTTAAACCATAAATGGAGAAGCTGCTTGGTACCTCTAACTCAGATGCATTCTGCAAGTTATGTAGGCACTGCAAGGGAAAGCCATAAAAGATTGTTTAACTGAGAGAAGAGGATTATAGAGGATTGCTTGACTGTTCCCTGTCTGGCAATGTGGAATGTAAGTATCCTATGTTCAGCAAACATTTCAGCAGCAGGCGTTTGCCACTGCTGCTGACATACAAAGAAAAAACTGCAGAAAAGGGAGTCTTTGACAGGGTTGAGGAAAAAAACAGCTTATTTGGCCTTGTGCATTTTACACTGAAACATTATTATTTTGTTTCAGATTATTTTTCTTGAAGGTTTCCAGCGAGTATCTCAGATAAAGCAATGAAAACAAATACGCAGTCTTTGCTGACAAAGGGTAATGATACTTTCCACGGCAAGGGCATAACTGCAAAAAGTCAAGGAGGAAGATTTTTTTCCTTGTGGAAGCTGTAGCCTTATTTGCACTGGTCCATGTATGACTAACTAATATGGCCCATATTTTCAGGGCAGTGAGGGGATTTACTGCACTTGCATTCAAAGTTGTTGCCAAGCCCACTCGTTATCTGAGTCTGCATGCTGCATAGAGCTGCTGGTGATGTTCTGAGAGCTTTAGGTGCACAAGAAATTACGTTGCTCTAGGTGAGGTAAATTTCCAGGTTTGTTTGGGTTTTTTTTCAAAGATACAAGATGACTCCAGAGAACAGTAACACATTTTGCTGAATAGATCTGTTTCCTCCTAACGTTGCAAAATAGAACCTGTGACAGGCTTGACTTTATTAGTGCTTGTTCACAGTGGAGATTGCTGCTGCAAGATCTGCCAGCTGAGACCTGCAGGGACAAAGCACCAGCAAATAAAAGGAGTTTTTCTGTTGTTGTAGCCATCTGCCACATCCAAACCACTGAAAACCACCCATGTGTGAGAAAGCAAGGAATGAACAGTGGGACAGTGTTAAGGACCACTAATATTTTTCAGTACAACTACACTAGAAAAATGCTGTAGGGTTGATTGGGCTTGGAAGCACAGGAGGTTTCCATCCCCCCCATGAATACTGGAGCCAGTTTCAGAGGTGGCACAGAAGTTCTGGGCCAGAGGTTGCTATCCCTCCAGCCCACGAGATTTCACTGTTGACTGCTTTCTAGATGTCCCTGGTGGAGACATCCAAAAAAATCAGCACAAATCCCAAGGCTTTTGTATGAAGTTGTGGAATCACCATCCTTGGAGGCATGCAAGGTTTCACTGGAAAAGTCCTTGCACAACCCGAGGTCAACAGACGTGCTTGGAATGGGGGCTGGGTTTGATGACCTCCAGAGGTCCCTTCCAACTTGAACTATTCCCTGACTCCACAAATCCCCTCCCTTCTGGAGAGTGACCGCTAAGCCCTGTCCTTCACTTCCTATTCTTACAGCAGCTTTCAACCCAAAAACCAACCTTTCATCCAATCTTGTGGCAACTTAGTTTCTTTACAAAGTTTAATAAGATTTGCAAAAAGCTTCTCAAAGGCTTTTTGAAAATGCAAGAGGATTATTATGCCCACACGACCCCCTTTATCGGCATACTTACCGCCCTTCCTCCAAATGCCAGTGATGCTGGTCTTCACTGGAGCCTCTCCAACACCTTCCCAACAGACTATGTTCACCCACGTGTCCCCTGATCTCATTCTCTATCACAGACGGTATCATCTCACCAGGAATGGCAGCCGGTCCCACTGCTTCGGCATTCCAGACACCCTGCTAAAGCAGTTTTTGAACATACTGGCAGCCTCCAATGGCATCTCCAATGATACACAGACCCCAGACCCAGTTCTGTGGTTTCTTATTGGAGTTTCTGAGGAACATCCCCATAAGTGTTATCTACTCCTGGCCACTTAATAACATCTACTTTAACTATTTTTTTCTAATATTACTGTATCAGATCAAGCAATGCAGTATCAGCCTGATACTAAATCAAAACTATGAAGGGGGTGAAAAAAGATCTGATGGCAGGAGGAGAAAGAAAAATAACAGTTTTTTAATTTAAACCAAATCCAGTTTGTAGCAGAACAGAGCTGTGAAAGCAACTACTGAGTTGTGGAAAGCTGCTAACGCTGTGAGGGTGATTCATGGATTACCAGAAGCCAGCTCTGCTGCTGCTGCAGAAGTGCAGCGCAAGGATTGCTCTACAAGCTTGCTGCTTTTGGCGGTGGAGGGAACAAGGTCCTGTACCACAAGGAGGGGACCCAGTTGGCACCCACCTGCCCCAACCTGCTGCAGAGCTGAAGGGCTGAAAACATTACATGCTGCAGAATAAGACACCCCATTCCCAGCGGTAAGCATCCCCAACTGCAGATGTACAGCTGCACCGTGTAATTCTCACGTCATTGCTTAACAAGTGTTATTAATTGCATTAGATCCGCAGGTCAAAGGATCAAAAAAAAGTAGTTTATATGTTATTTCTGCTGGTTTAGAAACACAAGCCATCACCCCAGGGTGGATATAGACCATCACGTCATGCAGAGGAGCACCATCCATCCCACCCCAGCCTGCCCTGGTTCTCCTTGCCAAGGCTTGTTGGCTTGGCCTTGTGCTGAGGCTAAGCTGTGGGGAGAGCTGGGCATGGAGCAAGAACTAGGGGAATGGGGAAAGGTCTCT